CGAACCTTCGCCGGCAGCAGCGCCGAGATGGCCCTGCTCTCTGTATCTGGCTGGGGTAGCAGCCACCCGGCGACCAGTAGCCCGTCCCTTTGTGCTGTCTGCCATGGTGTCTTGGTTGTGGAGGTGTTGACGGCGAAGGTGGTGTGTGTGTGTGCGTGGGTCGTGCTTGTTGCTTGTTGGCACCAGACAAGCGGCGAGATTAATTTGGAAAATTTGGAAGACCAGCTGGTGGTGCAAGTATAAAAATGAGCCGTTCGGTTCCAAATATTTGGCGCCAAAAAATTGGAAATTTTGGAACAAAAATTTGGTATGTATAAAAGGCCCTCAGTTGTTGAACGCGTACTCGTTCATTGATACAAAACATCCACCCTCGAGAGTTTCGCCGCCTACAAATGTCCGCAAGGAAGCACGGAAGTGTGTGCTAATCCGCATTTAGGTGCCGCGGCTCGAAAACAGCCTGCTGCGTCTTGGGAACAAGACCATGAACGAGCGTCGACATAACCACCCCTGTGCTCAGCCCTGTGCTGTCGCGGTGGGCCGTGCACCTCGTCTGGAGCATCTCTTCTCGATCGCTGCAACAGGAGTCACACCACGTTTTCTGCTGTCCGAGTTAGCTCTGCTGTTGCCTAGCCCTTGTGGTACAGCCTGTGGCGCCCTTGGCTCGGGATGTAGTACCGATGCTCCACAAGTTTGAAAAGCTTCCAAACGTTTTCAAGCTACTGGTTTTAAGTTTTCGAGCCTAGGTTCGTTCCAAATTTTTTGAAGAAATTTGGAGGAACGCCTCCTCCGTACATGTTCCCAATAGACTACAGTATTTGAAACTTTGAAACTTTGAAACAAAAAATTGGAACGTTTCAAACGGCCCAATATAAAGGTCGGCACAACAAAAAAAAACAATTCAAGAAAACGAACCCCGCGGCTGGTCCCACACAGGGCATGCAGGACCCCCACAGGGCATGCACTGAACAACGGATCGAGTACACACTCGCGGATTCCATTTGCTGCAGTGTGGACATTGTTGCACGAAAACATGCTCGCTGCTCTCGAGCACGAGCTCCTGCCACAGCCCCTGCTTACTCTGTGACTCTCTGCGCCTGGAGCGACGGCGGCAAGCACCGCTCACGAGGATGTTGATATGTCGGAAGGCAAAAAAAAAGAAAATAATGTTGATATTAAGTTGAATATGACAAGGCAGCAGATGGTGCGTCCGCGAGCCGCCGAACTCTCGACTTATGACCCCAAGACGCTGAATACCGCACACACGGCAGCCCGACATATCAAATCTGACACCGAGGGAAGGTAGAGCGCCAGGACTAAGCAGTGCTGCACAACTGAAAAAAAAAAGTAAAACAAGGTTGCGAGAAAAATGGGAACTAATTTTGAAATGGGAATGAACACCGCCCCCGTCTTGTGTTCACCCTTTGGATTTAGTTATGATCGAAAGCGCTATCGAATCTTCTCCGCGGGCAGAAACAGTTCATACAGGCGTTGGTGACCACGCCTGTTGTTGCCATGGCGAAAAACATCACGGGAGACAGACGGAACGTGTTTTCAGGAGGAAAGTAGAAGAAAGTATAGCTTCGGTGATTATCCGGGAGAGGGTGTGATATGAAACGTTGCGAGATTCAATGCCATATCATAACTTTGAGGTGTTTCCGGAGCATTTTCGGCGGTAGAGATGCAGGGTGCATAAAACATTCATAGTGGAGACATGGTGGTGGAGAGGAAAGGCTCCTCTTCCCCACGTAGGTTAAGTACGCGAGTTTGTGACCGAAGTGCTATCCGTGTGTGTGTTAGACCACGCATTCGGCGACCTAAGGTAAACGAACCCGCTTGAGTCTCGCCGCCTCCCGATGCCGCCCCACAGTGTTGATTTATCGTACAAAGACTAAATGAAGCACGGACAGCGAAAATGCACATACACACACCAGGCACGCGCGATCGAGGCAAATCACCTTGCCTCCTCCCACAGGCAAAATGTCCGAGTACTATGAAAAACTCCGGTTAGAAAGCCCTGGAGGTCACGTTAACAAGGTAAACGACTGTCGGATCCACAAGCAAGCAAGGTACATCCACCAGTAACGAGTCGTCTAACGAATCAACTACTCCGTCCTCTCTTGCCCCCTACGCGGTCTAAAATGTGCAGCCGTCAACAGCACGCCTGGCGCTGGAGGAGGTCGAAGTGCTGGCGTAGCACTGCTGCGAGGGTTAGGGATCGGGGTGGTGGCCCTCTCGGGCGGTGGGGCAGTGGGAGGCTGAAC